TTCCTTCTTTCTTCCTTCCCTCCATCCCCTCCTTCCCTCCACGTTGGGGACAGAACCCAGGGCCTCACACATGTAAGGCAAATGCCCTTCACTGACATCCATCTGCTGCTCGCAAATGCTCATTTGCAAAACGTCCGAAAGATACTCAGCAAAGTATTAACAGTGACCATCTGGGCACTAAAGTTTTATGTGATTTTAATATTCTTTTTAATCCTCTACTATACATTGCAAATCTCCTGTAATAATTTTGTAATAAGAAAAATATAATAGTGCTGTGCCAGCCCCATCCCCAGGGCACACTGAGATGGCAACTGAGACTAGGCACCTGTAATCCCAGTGCTTGGGAGGCTAAAAACAGGAGGATCGCTAAGAGTCCGCTCTGTGTAGTGAGACCCTATAGACCCTGTACTGCATTAAAAAAAAAAAAAAGTAAATAGTTTCCAAATGCAATCAAATGTAAGTCCCACAGGCAACTCTACTTAAAAAATAATTCAAATACTGATGGCCAATTCTGGGGTGCCGCCCTGGCTCAGTCCCAGCTAGGGGAAGCAGCACCTACGGCAGCTGCACTCATCCACTGGACCCCACCTTCTCACCCTCCCTATCCACAGCCACAACCCCAATACCACCAAATGCATCGTTCATGACCTGACCAGTGGGACTAACGCAGCTGCCACACAGCACAGCTATGTGACCTGGGCAGTTAGGAAGAGCACGTCAGAATGCAGACTGAGGCAAGCCAAAGCCTTATGGCAGCCATGAGGCCGCACGCCTGCAGAGGTGAGGTGGAGGGCGAGACTACAGGCCTTGGCTTCAGAAGAAGCTGAAGACGTCCCCTGAGCCCCCAGTATACCTGCTTGGCGATTTCAGCCTTCAGTGGCCACTCTTTCCTTCCCCCTTAATTTAGCTCACTTGACAGCGCTATTGATTCTTTAACATCAAACTACTAGTAAAGTACCTAAATAAGTTCACTGGCACTGGTTCTTTATAGAAGTCTTACAAAACAGTGAGGAAAATATTAATTCACACAAAGTAAACTGAGAGTAAAATCATTATGCTTTGCCCTTTCTACTGAACAAGGAGTCATAGTTGTTCGACTGTGGCTCTGCTATCGGGAAAAGCACACCTGTCCCATGCAGCTGTGCCTAACCTGAGGCTTGCATCACAGGCCACCTGCCCTTCTAAAAGTAGAACACAAATAGTTTTAAAGGGAAGTTTTGTTATCTATGGATGAACTAACTATATTATAAATGGCCTAAAACAATTCCTCTTCTTTCAGTGTGACCCAGGCAAATCCCCATTTCTATACACAATACTCCTTCCTGTCAAATGAAAATGGGACACAAAAGCACATGAGACGGGAAATCTGAAGGCAGAAATACCAAAAAAAAGGCTTCCGCAATATCACATTCCACAGCACACACACATGGCCTCGATTAAACGATCCTGAACATATGAAGTGAAAATACTTTAACTTAGTATGTGGACTTAGAGATCAGCTTACAGCATCATAAACTCACCTGCTCTGTAAGTAATATTGAGGTATTGCTATACTTCTTACTTGTTTCTGAGCCCAGGGTAACAAATCTTAAGAGAAAGAGTGTTAAGGAGATGCACCAGATCACCAGCTCCCAGTTGTAGTGGCACTCGAGGAAGATCTCGTGCACGTGCAGCAGCTGAAAATGCAGGGACAGGCAACGTGAAGCAGTCATGTAACTCAAACAACTTCACTGGGAAAAAAACCACACTTTCTACAGACTGTTCGTGAATGTAATACTGCATTCTGAAAATATTTCATAGTCATTATGAAATGCTGTAACGAGAAGTGTACAGAATGATGTAACCCATTGCCCTGGGCTCAGTTTTGTCAAATCTCAATATTTTTCATTACTTGTTTCAGATATTTTAAAAAATAAAATGTCACAAGTTCAGTTAAATCACTTTTAACTTTTCTGCAGCCCTCATCTCCGACCCACAAGCGCTGGCCCCACCGTGAAGTAGAAAACTTTGGGTTTACCTTCCTCGGTAGGTTTTTAAACCCATATATATCCTTAAGCAGTTATTCATGCATAGTAAATTCTATGTCATCACAGCACATCATGCTGCAAGTTTCTTTTTATTCCCCTGAACCTTGTTTGCAAAATCTAGCCACACTTCTGACTAAGTTTAGCTCTAAATGTGTTTATTCTGCTAAAAGATGTCGCATAGTCTGTTTTCACTGTAACCTGATGTCTACCAATTCACACTTCTGTTGCTGCCTACGCCACAATGCTGCATGCAGCAATGAGCACTAATACATGTGCGCACACCTGGGAGACCTTTTCTAGGAGTTAACATCCAGGAGTACAACTAGAACGTTCTACCTTCAACTTCACAAGCTATTACAAATTCATCTCTAAACCAGCTGAACCAATTCACACTCTCGACAACGTTTTGAATTGACTTGCTTTGTTTTTGTCTACACGTATTATTACCCAGCCTCTGAAGATCTGCCAGTCTGGTGGGTAAAGTGTTCTCTCACTGTTCTAAAGCTATTCCCTTCACACTGAGGGAGGATGACTATGTCGCATGTTTGATCCAAGTTCCATGTCTGAGACTTATGTTTCTATGTTTTCTTTCTTGCTATTAAGTTGATTTTATTATTAAAATTACTTACATATTCTAATAAAGGTCCTGTTATTTTTGTAATCTTTTATTTATTTGGTACAGGTTCTTGCTACACAGCTCAGATTTATAGTGATCCTCTTGCCTCAGCTTCCCCAGCACTGGGATTACAGGCATGCACCACCATGCCTGGTTTCACTGGCCAGCACAGCATATGGTACTGGGAATTGAACCCAGTTCCTTGCACTTCCCAGGCAGGCACTTAGACCACTGGGCTATCTTCCCGGCCCAAAAAGTCCCTTTTTAAAGCACATATTTTCCTAAAATCTTTCATCAAGTTCTAGTTTGTTGTTTACAGTTATCTCCTGTGATTCTTAGAATTTTAATTTTTATATATGTTCCAATTAAAATTATTTTTCACACATAAGTCTTTAACCTGCATGAAATGTATTTTTATGTATGACGTGAAGTCATTTTATTTCACTCCAATCTTAACTCATTTGTGAAGCCTTATGTTGATTTATAATGCTACTTTAGGGCCGAGGAGATAACTCAGTGGCATGAAGGGCCTGTCTGGCAAGCATAGGGTCCTAAGTTTGGCAAGCATAGGGTCCCAGTACCTCCAAAGACAAAACAAATAGAGCGAATGATAAGCTCATGGTATAGCAGTTGGCCTAGCATGTGAAAGGCCCTGAATTCAACAAGCACTAGCACACCACCTTATCCCATGTCACATAAGGACTGCTAGAATTCCATTCTGTCTACTGGTCATAGCATACCTATGCCAAAATCATAGTCTGCCTTAATGTTAAGTTCCTCTTCTAAGTCTTTTCTATTTCTGGATTCTTAAAACTGTCTGGATTATTCTTGCCTCTTTGTGATTCCAGATACATTTTAGAAAGTTCTGGATTTGAGTCTCCTAATCTACGAATGTGAGATACCTTCTTTCATAAACTTTTTAAAATAAAGTGTTAATCACATTTCTCCTAAATATGGGAGAAACATGTAAGGTTTCAAACATCTTTCGTTAGATTTATTCATGAGAACCTTGTATTCTTTGCTCCTTGAAAATGCTGCACTTGGCGTTTGGATGCGGACAAGGTCAGCAAGTGATGGCTGATGGCCATGGTCCACTTTAGGCCTGTTTTTCGGTCCTGGAGCAGAGAATAATTGTGTACTGTTTTTTTAAAAGGAAAAGAAGAGAAATACGGAAAGAAAAAGAATGTATTTCAGAGGATGTTAAGTGTCACGAAAATCTAAAATACTCTCTAATGTTTACAGATGGCATTTGACTAATTCCTATGTAGAAACCAAATTGATCTTTAACTATGATATTATACCTGTTTTTGTTGATCTTGTAAAACTATTACAATATTTTTATATAGTTATTCTATTTACTTATTTAATTTATTTTGGTTCCAGAAATTGAAGCAGTTTTTTTTTTTTTTTTTTTTTTTTTTTTTGTGGTACCGGGGATTGAACTTAGGACCCTGCCCTTGCCAGGAAGGCACTTATTCTACTGAGCTATCTCCCTGGCCCTGAAGCAGTATTTTTAATAGTACCCAGAAAACCACTTACCTATCTTGCAAAAAAAAATTATTATTTTTTGTTTTTGATTTTTTTGTTTGTTTTTTTGGTGGAACTGGGGACTGAACTCAGACCCTTGCGCTTGCTAGGGAAGCACTTATTCCACTGAGCCATCTTCCCGGCTATTACTCCTTTAACCTGAACTCCTCCCAAGCAGTTTGTTCACTGTGTTGAATGCCAGTGACTATATTTCTAACTTCTTTGAAGTAGCTTGGGGCTTTTTCAGATCTCTCTGTGTATTCTTTTCTCACATCATTATCTATGTCTTTAACCATTTTTAAACAAATTTATAGCACCTATCTGATCAGTCTAGGAGATCTAAGCTTGCTTATTTACTGATCCAATGACTCACTTGGAATTTCTTTCTTCAGGCTTTTAAACCTGATGTGGCTCTCTCTGTGGAAAGCCTGTGAAGTCCAGGGGAAGTCTTATCCCCAGTCAGTCTTGGTTTTGTTGCTGCTTGGTGTCCGTGGGCCTAGGACCACTTTTTATATTAATTTCTTGACACAGTAAGGACAAGATAACATATATGATGCCAAATTGAACCCTTGGTCTATACAAAGGGCAGACCTACAATTACATGTTTTCAGCAGGGACATTCCCCCTCCTTACCATCCAGTGCCCACATAAAGGCAAAGCTTCTTCCCTGTCCTCCTGCTTGATGGCCACACTGGTTTTCTTCCTATGTTTCTGCAGAGGCTGTGGCCCTGAGGCTGCACATGTCGGGAGGTCTGCAGGAAGGCCTTGGCCCCTCACCTCAAGTAGGCATGAAATTTAAGGCACTGTGGCACTAAGACTGACCATGCCTGGCACCCTTTCACCCCTGGGCCACCATGAGCTCCTGCATTTTCATCTTCACTGCTGTCAACTCAGATGTGTACACAATACACATACAGCAAACATAAGCTGGGCTTCACCTCACCGGCAGTGCTCAGTGTGTGGAAGCAGCCTTCTCAGGTAATCTCTCTCACTGGGAAGCAGCACTGTGCAATGCACTTCGCAGCACAGAGTGGCTCCACAGGACTTCTGCGTTTCCTGACTAATCTTAACCACCGAGAATTCTTTTTCAGAGCATGTGCCAGTCAAGACAGAGATCCAGATATAAGAAATTTTAAAAATTATTATTCAGTGTGAATTAACCTGACATTAGTGGAACAACTTCAAAACTCTTACTGGTTCGTGTTCGTTTTAGGATACAAAGATAATCAGGTGGATTCTAGACAAAAATTACTATATATGTTCATTCAACAGACATTGGAGCATATGCTCATGACACAGAGGCAAGTAAGATGCATTTTCTTATTCTGCTGGAAAAAATAAAGTGCAAAAGGCATTTCAAAACTCATTTGTCCAAGTAGGTTTAGTTATATTATTATATTTCTAAAAAGCCTTATAAAACATAGTTAATGATTTAATTTCAACATGTAACAAGTCAGCTCACCTGGGCACAACAGATAAATACAACTGAGATGGTCAACAGGAAAGCAGATGAAACTATTACATCAACAGATCTCTGTGGACCACGACGCTAGAGGGAGGAAAAGAGGGAAAATACTTTTACATACATTTATTAGTTAGCAGCTAATGTACATGCTTTCAATTAAGATGTTAATGTATCATTGCAGGTTGGCTATAACTTACAATGTTGAAAATATATCTAACATATCTGATGACTTTTTAAACTGCTAATATTTCCTGACAATTTGAAACACAGTAAGTCTGTAAAGCAGAATCCATAGCATAACATCCAAATATTTCTTCTCTGTCTAATGATATAATCATTTATTCAATAACTGCTTCTTGAGCACCTGCTCAAAACTAAACAGTGTGCCAGATGTAAGAAACAGAGAACAAAAGACCAGAGCTCTGCCTCTACAAGTACCAGTAGGGGGCATGACATCCAACTCAAAACCAGATACAGTACATGTGGTGAGTGGTAGAAAGGAAAAGTACAGCAAGGACGCTTCAGATAACTGCTGGGGAAACACACTGAGACAGGGTTAGGAATGAGAGACATTTACACAAACTCAGGCAGGGGCAGGGGGGCAGGAGGCAACGATGTAGGCAGAAGAGCATGTACAGGAGCACAAAGCAGAAAGGATCACAGTGCACTTAGAGAAATGAAGTGGTCTGGAGGATTAGAGAGGGAAGTGTTTCAAAATGAGCCAATGACAGCCAGATGAAGGAGGGCCTGGGCCGTGAACAACAGCACAAATCACACACAGTGAGATTTTATTCTTTATTCTAAGGGTAGAGGAAAATTTTTTTAAAGTTAAAGAGTTATATGGTGGGCCCACATTTTTAGGAGACTGAAGAAGGGAAATGTGAAAGCTGGCAGGCCAGTACAGGGGCACCTGAAGAAGCCCACAGAGAAGATGAAGCGAGCTGCAAGTATGACAGGAGAAAAAGAACTATAAATAGAGTCGTTAGCATCTAGAAGCAGAAAGGCTAGGAACTGCTGCTAAAATGCATGCTGGAAATCAAGAGGACAACTCTCAAGAATAAGTCCTAGGTCTTGGGTTTACACATGTCCTTGCCAAGGGGTAGTCCCTAAGATTTCTAATTGTGACCTGATCAACAGTAATGGTATGTGGTCAACATTCAATAAATGCTTGTTGAATAAAATCATCAGTGTATAAGAGAACTCAGTACCAACTCAGGGTTGACGAGGAAGGGAAATGCTGTGTGGATCCTCACTAACTCAGCGACAAAGAGCAATGCAGCCCTCACACAGCGAAACCTCATGGGGAAGAAGAGCAATCTATGCCAATTTGCAACATTTCCCAAAGAAGACTAAGAAAGTTGGATTTAACAAGTTAAATAAACAGAACAATAAATTTTTAAACTTAAAAAAGCTAATAGCACAAACTAAAAGTTTTTTTATTATTATAAAAATATTTTTAAAAATAAAAATATTAAACATTGGTGTCAAGATACTTGGCCCTGGGGCCAATTTTAATAACAAATATAATATTTTAAGCAAAATATTTTTTCAATTTGCATGACTAAATATAATGAGGTTCACTATTATATGATTCACTGCTATTCAGCCCAAATTGCAGAAAACAAAAGTGTTGCTAAAACTAATTCAACCTTTTCTCTTTTTTTTAACTAGTTTCCCTAACTTAGTTCCATAAACAGGAGAACTGTTAAAAAGATTTAAGAAGAGAATAGCATGGAAGGAATGACTTGGAATTGCAAGCTAAAAGTTCAAAATAGCAATAGGTCACATCAGCGAGGAAATGCATTAGACTTTTTGAGATTCTTTTCTAAGCAGCTGGCTCCCTCTGCTGGTTGGCGATGACCATTCTAAGTAGAAACCAAATCTCTAACAGAGCTTTTGCATGACAAGTTGGAGACTGCATGTCTGCAGGCAAGCGTATTGGCAAAGAAACTGGAGCTATCAGAGGGAGCCAGCATTTCAGGAATACTTGCATCACTACCATTCTACCTTAAGATAGGAACGGAGAGATAGCCACATTTTTATATTCTGTACTTTCTTCAACCGGAAATGAGGAACCTCAGATTTTCGAGCCCTCCTTGCAGATGTTAAATGTCCAAAGAGTTTTGCAAAAAGCAATCGCTAAAAAAGATTAAGATGGGGATTAATTTTCAAGTAGATTATCATAAAAAACAACAAAAATGAATTGTTATGATTTTATTTGGTTAAGTAATATAAAAGCAAAATAAAATAATTAGGTCAAATGATTTAGTTTGAAACACTAAACCACTTCAGGAATACTTTAAACATTATGAAAAGGATAAAATATTCTATTTAAAAGTTTATCTTATACCCACCTGCTTATAAGTTCTTTCTGCTACACAGAGCAAAAAAAAGAAAATCCATACAAGAGATACACGAACCACAAAACTTATTATAACCATAGAGAGAACCATGACATCTTCATTAGAACCAAATGCAATCACATAAAGTTCTGAAGCAGAATGTGCTGTGAGTTGTTCCAAGTCTGTGGCTTGAGAGAGCCGAAAAACAAATGGTGTTAAACCTAAGATTAGAGAGATTGCATTTCCAAAAATCTGGTATCCTATTCCTGGTATATGGTTGTTCACCTTAAGGAGAAAAAAAGGTACAGAAATTAGAATTAATTCCTATTGAGCCTTATTTTGTTTACAGCAATAGGAAATCATTTTGTTAGGATATATTTTATAGTGAAATTTAAGAACGTATTACACATAATTAGTTTTGCAATAATTATTGGATTTTAATTTAGGAAGAAGTAAAACAATTTCCTATCTCAGTCTCACTCAGATTCTGAAAAATAATTCTATGTGTCTCACTGTTCTACAAGTTCAGAACACTCACAAACACTGCAAAAGCAGCAGAAGGAGAACTTACACCCACTTACAATGCAGGCCAGAAGGGCTGGCCAAATAGCTCATGGATTAAAGCACCTACAAGCAGGCGCAGGGGCCAGGGGCTTGATCCCCAGGCCTGCTGCCAGCCCTGCCCCTGGTGAGCACTGAGATAGTAGCTGAGACTGGGCATGGTGGGACTATGAGTCAGATCTAGTAGTGAGGCCTGAACACTCTGTAGACCCCTTCCTAAAATACAAAAAAAAAGTAGACTAGAAAGGGGATCTTAGCTAACTCTCATATACTTTAGGTAAGTGAGCCTATTCCTCAAAGTTATCTTCTAGTTCATAGATTAAGCTTCAGAGCACCACTAGATCCAAGCTTCCAGAGAGAACTTGCTGGAGTTTTAACTGTCAGCCTGAGATACATAAAAGGCATACATTAATTTCTAGATCCACTTGCTTTAATTCATGGTCTATAAAAAAGGACAAGAATTCAAGTATAGCAGTGCATCAAGGAAAGTTAGAATTGTAGTTTAGACCATGCCTAGTTGTCCAGAGAAATAAGGAAATTGGTAAGATAGCAATTATCTGGCATAGGAAATAATTTAAGAGACATTAAAATTAAAATCCACAATATTTATACAATACTTCTTTACACTCAAGATTTTTAATACCCTCTGCACTACTTCTATATAGTTAAGTAAGCAATCCAGTACAAAGACAAATTGTTTCGTTTTGAAGTGTGGGGTATTAAAAAATAAATGAAGCATTAAGGGTGATACAGAAGAGTAAGCCTTCTTTAACATCTGTGTATATCTAGCAGCTTCTCGAATCTATCCACTGAAAGCAAGAAAGAGAGTAACATAAAAGAGGAAAAATTTAACTGCACTATCTATTCTTAGTCAGAGGAGTGAAAGACTATGGTGGCTTGGCGACCAGTCACTGTTGAAATAGCAGACAGACCCATACAAGGATTTTCCTGAGGGAAAAAATGACGTGACGCAGGGCGATAGGCCTCTAATTGGTAGGCACGGACTCTGCACTCAACTGTAACAATAAAGGCCACAACTCACTCTGTTCATGATCATCCCACTGATCTCAAGCACAGACATGTCTGCTTTTTTGCAGTCGTTGCCTTCCCACACGATCGCGCTTATCTTTTCCAATCCTGGGTGAGAGCTATGGAGCCAGGGCAGATGACTCTACGAAGAAATTAACAGAAAGCGGTGAATCTATCTGTCACATTTCATAAATAAAGTCCATTTATAAACCTATACATACAGCTATACACTTAGTTTTAATAGCTAAAATTTGATATACATTTACCACATTAATGGAGCACACACACCTGTACAGTGGCTCTTAACACACCATTTCAACCACACTAATATGCCAACAAAATTAGTATGCATCTCAAACTTAAGAAGTAGAGCACAAAAATGTAGAACTTTTAGGCAATAGATAGTAGGCAACATGGCATTAAAAAATAAAGGTATTCAGTTGTCAGTCTATGTAGCTTCAAAATAGTCCTGCTGAAAGAAATGGAACTGAAACTGGCCACACAGGTCACGGCCCAACTAACGCAACATAAGAGAGTAACAGATGAGACGGGACCCTCTCTGCAAGCCTACACACTGCCACAATCTCATCCTGAAAGAAACTCTTCCTCATGCTTACCTTAAGTGTCTGATTCAGTTACTTTTATGATATTTTAATCTAGAATTTCTCTGAAGTGTCAGTTTAGCATTTTTCCCCAGACAGGGCTAACATTGTGAGCTGAAGCACATAAAACTAGAACTAGTCTTTGATGTGGGATAAAGCATCTCTCAGTGTTTCAAGGAGTAAGAGAAAAGAGCATAATCAAAAACTTCTGTATGAAGAATCAGATATTTAAAGTTTTTATTTTGCTACAGATCTATCAATAATAGAATAAAACTTGAAAAGAGAATAAATAGTTGGGTTAAAGGTAGAAAGAGAACTGATGAAATAGTAACCATTACCTAACCAGAATTTGAGAGGAAAACTAACATGAAAAGATAACAGAATGGATTTATTTGTATCACCATATTTCTACCTTATAATCTTTTAATGACTACTATACTTCTCTCCTACATTTTATAAAAAGATTATTCATAGGAAAATAGACCATGGTTCTTTGACTTTCTATTTTTTTTAATTTTACTTATTTGTGTTTGTGTGTGTGTGTGGCCAGCTCAGCCCACCAGGGGGCGGGGCTGGCTGGCATGTGGTGCTGGGGGATTGAACCGCGGTCCCTGTGCTTTGCTAAGGTTGTTTTAAGTAGGTGCTTTAGACCACTGAGCCATCTCACCAGCCCCTGACTTTCTAATATTAAATTTTTACAATATTAACTTTTAAAATAATGAATAGAAGAATTTTACATGATATTATTTTTGGAGGACACAATGTGATTAAACTATGGTAAATGTTTCTGTACATTTAAGAGATGTAATTTTTCCTCTGGGAAATGAAGTCACCCTGACTCATTTTAACTGAAGTTGTCTAATAACAAACTGTAAGAAAACGGGTGGAAAATCTGTATCTTTTCCAAAGGTATAAGATTTTAAGGTATTTATTTCGCTATTTGAGGGCCTCTAGAGCTAAGAGATAGTACTTATTATCAATTTCTTCAAATGACATTTCATAACATCCTCAAAAAATTCCAACTTGGACAGAAATAATTTGCATCAAAATACAGTATACAGCAAACTTTTCTGTAAATTTCATCATAGTAGAAAAACAGTGGAACCAAAGAGCTAGAAACAAGAACAGGAACCTGAATGGAAAGAGTGCGGAACATGGGAGGCACAGATTTTAGCCATGGATTTACAGATCACCTTTCTCCTCCAGTCTCAAGTACTAAAGATCTTCCCAGTTACACGAAGAAATGCCAATCAATACCAACAAGGTCAAGCTAGTGACAAAAATGAGAAATCAACCATTTCCTTTTTGTCCTTCCAAAAGAACTTAACGTTGTACTCAGTCACCTTCCCAAGTAGTCTAACAGCATTTAATATTATTTTTCAATTGTAGAAAGCAAAAGAGAAGACAGCAATTAGAAAAAGATATAGTTTACTGAAAGAAGCCTGTAACTCTGTGTGTGTGTGTGCGCGCGCGCGCACGCACACACACACACACACACACACACACAGGTGTGGACATGTGTGTTAAATGTATACTAAAAGCCATCTCACTGGGACCTGCACAGCCTACAGTATACGCAGAGTAACATCACTGGAAAAGGCTCAGGGAAAATATCAGAGCAAATAATTAGATTTTCTAATTTTACCATATAGGGTCTTAATAATGTTTTCAAACTAAAATCTGGAACTCTTAATGATTGTGTATCTGTATCACAACTGCTTTACCCCTTGTTCACTCAAAACTGCCTGAAAAGTTTAGCACTTAAATGGAGGCCTATGTTTGATTTCTAATAAATTCACCATGACTACTTTACTGGTGTTTCCAACTATACAAAGGCAGTCACTAAAATCTGGCCTTCCCTACTAAAAAATAAATACCACGGGTATGTACCTAAAGCCATAACTATAGCAGGAAATTCTCTCTGGGAGAAATGTATTTTTCTTTTAACAAAGAAAATAAGCAATAAAACCACACTCTTGGGGATGTTCTGACTAAAATATACTAACTCAAATGGTCATGGTTGCTTCATCTTTACAGTAACTATCTTTACGGTGGGCAGGAAAGGACCCTGCAAAGCTAACACAGACCTTGGCCAAACAAGAACCCTGTAGCTTTTCACTCAGGGAGCTAATGTCCCTTATTTGACTACTAATAAAACTAAACATAATCTCCCTTTTGTTAGAAGCCCAAGAATAAGAAATATACATAAAAATTACAACTTTAATGCAAAAGCAACAGAAGTTTTAGTAAACATAATTACATATGCAGAGTAAAATATTTTAAATGTTTTTATAAAAAAAGAAGTAGCATAGTATAATAAGACAGGGCCTGTTCATTCTTTATATACATATAAATATATATATATATATATATATATATATATATGTTTTGTTTTGTTTTGTTTTGTTTTCTTGCTTGCTTGCTTGCTTGTTGTTGTTGACACAGGGTCTCGCTACGCAGTTTGACTCCTAGTGATCCTTCTGTCTCAGCCTCCCCAGCACTGGGGTTATAGGCTTGAGTCACCACACACAATCTTAGTGGCCAGCACACCATGCCTGGGGTTCTGGGGCTGGCACAGCATGTAGTACTGGGGATCGAACTCAGGTCCTTGAACTTGCCAGGAAGGCGCTTAGTACACTGATCCCCCAGCCTGAGTTTATTCATTATGGACACCATAAAACTACTGTTTAATCATTTACTAAAGGTCTAGTTGGGCAAGGTGGCACACACCTATAATCAAAAGGATCTTTGTGAGTTTGAGGCCAACCTGTGCTACACAGTGAGCTAAAGGTCAAGGTCAGTCTAAACTACATAGTGATACCCTGTGTCCAAAAAAAAACAAACAAACAAAAAAAAAAACCAACCCTCAGAAATGCCTATAAGAATGTTCTTATTAAAAAATTTAAATTTGTTCTACATCTTCACTCAGCTAAGTATTTATTAAACACATACTAGGCAATGTTTGACATGGTGGAGCACAACACTGCTCATCATGTTGCTGGGGAAGAGTTCACAGGCCCTTCCTGCCTCCTCCGTTCCAGTGGTTAAGCTCGTGAGGTGTGAGGCCGCTGGGCGCACAGATGACTCGGCTTGGCCCACACCCTAGCGTCTCAAGCATCGCTCATCCGTCATTTCTCCACATACAAGGATGATCAGCTGCTCCAGGCCACACCCTGGCCCTGTCACCACATAGAACTCTTCTACTTCTAAAATGAGTCAGGGACCACAGCTTCCCACCCTACAGGTCTCTCGACCTTCCTCTCTAAAATGCTTGTTCCTTGAGCACACTCATTCTCCAACTCTTGAGTTTTGCATTCTCCTCGGCCCCACATAACACCCTTTCTCCTGGCCTTTAGTGACTAAGCACCTACTCTGTCACACCCTAGTCACACTGGTAAACTCTGAGCATGAACTTTCTTGTCTATAAAATGAAAAACCACATTCCATAGGTTGTAAGGACTGTATCACATATGCATACTGATTATTTTGCCAAAGGCAGACATATAGCAAAGGCTTATTCAATCTTCAACGCTTATTCAATGCAGCTTAAGTGCCTGCATGGCAAGTGCAAGGTCCTAAATTCAATCCCTGGCACCAAAAAAAAAAAAAAAAAACAGAAACTTATATTCTGGAAAATATCATCTACCTGTGCTGCACAACTATGAATTCATGATTTCAGATTCCAGCTGGACCGTCAAGGAAATGGGGACATGATCCTTTAACATATTCACTGGCTTGAACCATATGCACAACAACCTCTTCCTTCCTTGTCCTCCCCACAAATGCTCACCTCACACCTTCATCACCATCCAGCGCGGCCCATGATGGCCCCTCCTTCCTGTGCATAGACCCTCAGTTCCCACAGTGCACAGAGGTTGGGCGATCGGACACTAACTCTGTCAGTGTCCTGCTTGCTTCTCATTCTCTTACTCTCCCAGCAAACGTGCGCTCTGCTTCCTGTCAATGGCTAAGCTTTCCTTGTCAGTGGCACATGCTCCCCACCCCCCAATCCTAAGAAGCCCTCATTCAACTAATCACCTTTCTCTGCAGTAGCTTCAGGTCTTTCCCCCTGGTTTTCTTGAACATATCAACATGCTCTGTAGCTCTTCTTGGGGGAAGTGGGGGCCAAAACACTCTTTCAGGGCCCGCCAAATAGCTCAGTGGATTAAAGCACCTGCTTAGGCAGAAGCAACAGCTGGGGTTCGAATCCAGGCCTGCTGTGCTGGCCCTGCCCCCGGGGCATGCTGAGATGGTGACTGAGACTGGGCATGGAGGCATGCACCAGTAATCTCAGCTCTTTGGGAGGCTAAACACAGAGAATCACTACGAGTCCGATCTATGTAGTGAAACCCTGTAGACCCTTACTAAGAATACCACAAAAAAAAAAAAAAAACCTCTTTCAACTCCATTTCTCCATCCAACTACTCATTTATTTCAAACTTTCAGGTTTAATTTTCATTCTAGTAGAAAAAGTCCCTCTATTGTGCTTTAAAATTGTGCCTTTTATTCTTGATATTTTCCCTTTTAATGGGGACTTTAAATTAGCACACACACACAAAAAAAAAAAAAAAAAAACCCACCACGAATAAATAAGCAAGCTGTTGGAATTTTGACATACAAAGCAGGAATAATTGGTGCCTTGGATTCCTGCCTTTAATGATGGTGTTTAGAGGTGTAACCACCGAGAGCTGAAAGGATAGAAGATAAAAGGAAGTAATGCCCAGAGGAGGACAGAAAGAGAGCAGAGCTTGCTCTTTCCACCATGTGAGAAGACAGGAAGATGATCATGGTCTACAAACAAAAGAGGGACTCCACCAAGAATCCAGCCACGTTGGCACAAAGTCCACCTGATCAATCCTGAACTTCCAGCCAGCAGGAACTGGAGAAATAAATGTTGTATTTAAGCCATCTCATCTGTGGTATTCTGTGATGGTGGGAAATACTTTGTAACTACTCCTCATCAGATAAAAAAATATATTCTACAGCTATCTTTCTAAAACCTTTTATAGACAGGATTTGATGAGTGGGATAAGAGGTGAGGGGGAGGAAGAGTGAGGATTCTAAATGGTCAGCAAGGGTAGATACACCACTCAGCACCACAATTTTGTTTTTAAATGTATTTGAGATAGAGTCTCACTACACAGCTCAGACTCATAGTGATCCTCCTGTTTTCAGCCTCCCCAGCACTGGGATTACAAGCACCACAACTTTAGAGCAGCAGGAGGAAGATTTATAAGGGCAGATGGGAAGCATGGTGCAATTTAGGGTACTGCTAGGGCAATGAAATGAAGATGATCCACAGAACTGGTGTTCGATGCAGTACCCTAATTCACATGTGCCTAAAAGGTCCGGCAGTTCAGAATGAGATGCTCTTTAGTCAGCCATGATGGTGTACAACTGTGATCCCAGCACTCCGGAGGCTGAGGCAGGAAGGTCAGCATGAATTTGACGGCAGCCTGGGCTACACAGGGAGTTCAAGATTGGCCTGACTACACATCCTGTTTCAAAAAACTAAATTAATCAAAAGATAAAAACAAATGAGATCTTCTTGAAGGGTTCATTCTAGATTGTGAAGATTTAGTGTTAAAAAAGGGAAAGGTTTATTTAACGTTTTTCATATCAGTTACATGATTAAGGACTAATATTTTGAATATAACTGGTTAAATAAAATATGAAAGTTATTTTTACTTTTTGAAGAATCCTTAATGAGGTTAATAGAAAAATGAACACGACCTATGTGGCCCATATTTCCACTGAACAGCATGGCTGTGGTGCTCAGAATGTCATTACGATGTTGGTGAGTATTTGGGAATCAGAACCATAGAGGCAGAGTTGACACCAAGGTGTCCATGAATCTGAGGATGAAGGGTGCAAAATGGGAAGGGGACCAGGGTGCCCACAGCACAATTCAACTCATAAAACCCATGAGACTGTAGGCCACGCAAGAGACAGCCACAACTAGAACACTGAGACTACACATTCTAAGGAAGCCAGACCACAGCTTAGGTGAAAAGAAAAAGCTGTAACATTGTCTTAATTCAACACAAATTTTTCTTCACCTCTATAAAATCTGTACATACATTCAAAAGAGCTCAACTGATTGCCCCATGTAATCCAACACTGTAAACTAACCTGATGGAAAGGGTCGTCTCTATATTCTTTTTTCACACATGGGTTAATGTGAGGATTGTCCACATCTGTCTCACTGGTACAAGATGAACGGCATTCTGCACAATGTAACAAGTCTTCCCATAATACATCTTCTGTTTCAGACTCTGGCCTTGTGCTCTCAGAATCCTGTCTGGAACTTGAACAGCGAGAGCTGCAACTAGTACCCGATTTAGGGGCATCCTGAAATCAAGATAGTCTTTGACATTAATACAATTTATGTATCCTTTTCAACTAAAAGGATTTCATCAGACCCATATATTGCTACTTTTCCCAAAATAAACACTGTCAAAAGACAGTGGAAGAGGTAACAAAACACTAAGAGTACATAATTTTTAAGGAATAACAAAATGCTCTCACATCAAAATTTACTTGATTTCATACTTCAACTAGGGTATTTTGCTTACAAAACTGTGCCTATTTTGTGTTAAATTTTGTATGAGGTTCAGAATTCAGGAAGGCAGAGGTGGTCTTAGTTTATATGGTCTGCACAGTATAGTAACCTTCTTCAATATTCTTTAAAAGTATTTTCTCACTCTAGGATTTAATAACAGGAGTAGATGACATTTATCTACAGTCTTTGCTTCCCAAACTGAAATTTAAAATTGATAACCTAAACCAAGATGGTAACTGGAGACGCATATTCTTAAGATAATTTGTGGTACAAAATAAAAAGCTAAAATCCACAAGTGACACCTAAACATTTTATCCTCGTTTTTAATGAACAAAATATGACTTGAGTAAAATCCTAAATTTTTAAAATGTCTACTAAATAGAGTGGTAATGGTAATACCCACCCTTATAACCAACTATGCTCAACATTTTGGATTTGTTTCTGTCTTCTGCCACTACGGTTTGTCAGTCCTACCACTACGATGTTTCATATGCTTTCCTTTGTCTTTCCTGTGACTGTTGGAATTCAGATTTTATCATTCACATCTTAACTGTGAAAAGTTCCTCCTAACTGATCCTTACTTTTCTTTCCAAATTAATCTGACTGACAGATGCCTCTCACCCAACTCTCCCTGCCATGGTTTCTTGGTCCCCTCTCCGGGGTTAAAGCTCAAGTGCCACATTCTGACCCACTCCTTTTCTGCAGTGGTAGCAGTCTCCTTTCTACACATGAGATATAGATAGATAGATAGATAGATAGATAGATAGAT